TAGAATTGTCTTCAGAAGACTACTTATTACCATATTACTTCTAGGAAAAGCATAGGAGCGAACTTTCTCATCGGCGATCTTTGCCTGGTATTTTTTCGGGAGTGATCAGATCCTGACTTTATACCGCTCATAAAGGTGAGCTGAATTCGCGCTTTCTTGATAGTATTAGAAAAGTTTTTTCAATATTTGTTCAGTGATGGAGTTTCCTCTGGAACATGAAGTAAAGTTTCCATGTGCAAGTGGTAGCGTGCCATCTCAAGGTAGTCCGGACGTTCGGCATAAAAGGCCGAATGGAAGATCGAAAGTGATGTTTCGTTACTGGTTATCTCTAATTGTAGGTTCCTTTTATTTCCACACCATATAAACTTTATTTTCACCTATTACTCCTTTTATTGAATTTTTCGCAGCGCAACTGTTCCTGATTCCAGGTCATTTTCTCATTATTCGAAGCCGTTGGAACTCAAGGTGAATTCTTATGGCATTTTGGGGAGCGTAATTTTGGATATTCATGTGTTTGGAATCTGCTATAAGAATGAATCAAAACACTCAAAAAATCCTTAGTTCTAATGATAAGGGAACTCATCTTAAACCTCTTTTTCCAGGTGCACCTACTCCAGTTCCAGTTTTTGAAAGTGAGATTCTGATTCTCGAAGATTTTGCTTTGCTTGAAAATATTGTTGAAAGAAATATTGAGTGGTTTCGAAATTCTATTATAACACTTAAGGACCGCATTGTGATAATCCACAAGTAGATGATCGACAGAGAGGACAATTTCTCGATGGTCACAATGAGCGCAGGTATTTTTTAAAGGGTGTAGCTAAAAATCTAAAAACCAAGGGTGAAAATGCGCTGAATTTCGTTTGCGCTTCAGAGGCAGATTGGCAAGAGGAGAAATGGAGTCAAACGGGAATCGAAGCATACGAACTGATAAAAATCGCAGAGCAAACGGTTTCCACAGCCTTGCACCAGCAGCGGCTAATATGTACCGTATGGTAAGCAACTATTTCTTCTAGAATTGATCAAACCAGCCTAGGTCACCACCCGACGTCGCGCAGGTTTAGGAGCGGCGTAAG